GGGGGTTGTGTGCAGTCAGGAGGCTCTCAGCGCTGTCGCTGCCCGAGACTGGGTCTCCTATTCAAGAAGCCGTTCTGCAGGCCCAGCCTCCCCGGGGCCGAGAGGGTCTGCCTTCCATATTTTAGGGCCTTCTCAAGGACTCTTCACAAGCTCACAAAAGCAGACGCTGAGAGCTAGAGCCTGGCTCAAGGCCATGCCATCCGCTTACCAGAGGTCACGTGTGAACCCGCATCTCCTGACGAATGCTTCTGGCCTGAGCCCCTGGGCTGACTGGTGTTCTGCCACTTTAAGAAATGACTCCCCCCGCCCCCCCCCCGCCTCCCTCTGGGTCTCGGTGTCTGTGTTTCCGTAGGAGCAGCGTCTCGTGTCTGGCTGTATCTGCACATGTGCATGTGTGCGTCTTTCCCATTGTTTCTGTCTCCCTCTGCTTGTCTTCCTGTGCCTCATTCTCTTTCTCTTGGTCTCTCTCTCGCTTGGCTTGAAACTCACACCCCTTTCCCCAGGTCTCTGTGAGTTTGTCCCCCCGTCTCTGGGTGCACATGTGTCTCTCGCCTCCCCCACCCCAGCCCCCACTAACACCCCAGACTGAACCAGCTGGTTACCACCACTTGGCCCCTCCTCACATGCCTTCTTCTCCTGTAAATATTTCCTCAGCGCTAACCGAGTGCTAGGCACAGGGCATAACCTCAGAGTCAAGCAGGCCGCGTCCTCTGGGAGCTCAAAATCCTCTTTTCCAAATGTGGGGAAGGATCTGGCTAAGAGGCTCCCACTTGCCCCTTGGGCCTCTCTAGCCTGGAGAGGAGCCTGACCCCTCTGAGCTGCCTGCCTGTCACCTGGAACAGAGCAGGACCAATGACATCCTGAAGGATCCTGGGACGGTCCAGTTTGTTCACCAGGGGGGGGAACCCATATCCCTGAGCAGGTGGATTTGAGAATTGCCGCCGAACCAAGTCCCCAGGCCCACTTAATAGGAGGCTCAGCTGCCGTATGGTGAAGCTCAGCTGAGCGGATCATTTTACTCTTCCGATCGGACTCCTGGCGACCACAGTTACTCAAGAGGAGGAGGGGGGAAAGGGACAAGGCAAAGCAGCCATTGGAAACATCCAGCCTCCAAAAGGCAATGCCACCTCCCTCAGAGGTTGTCACTGGGATTAAAGATCAAGTTCTAAAGTACTTAGCAGGGTGTCTGGTACAAATAAGTGGCTACTGCTACTATCATCACAGCAACAAATAGGATTATTTACCATTGACAGACGATGGGGACATCGTTGGTCCAAATGGCCGGGAAAGCTGGGCTTCAGTATTCTTCTTGAGCCATGTTTGTACTTCCCAGGGACTCCTAGGTGCTTTTTAGCACCCCCTCCTCCCCTCATACCTCCTCGAGGATGCAGCAACAGATGCCTAAGGACACAACTCCAGAGTACAACCAATATTCTGGCTCCATTCCTTTGCAGCTCTGCTACCTTATGCAAGTTATTTAACCTCTGTGCATTTCATATTTTCGTCTGCAAAAGATAATACTAACTCAGCAACCCATGATGAGCATTAAATGCACTGAAAGAAGTAAAGCACTTGAAAAGTGCCTGGCACATGGTACATACTCAGTAAATGTTACCTAGTATTATTTCATATATGTTGATATTTTAGAAACAGGCATTTAAAAGTTGTACATATTTAATAAAATATAACTAATATTTGTATATGTAATAAAAACATTGCATCTATGAAACCAATAGGTCTTATAAAAAAAAACTTCTAAAAATTGATGTTTATTTATAGCCAGATGTGTTTCCTCTTCTCCGTGCCTGAGACCAGCACACCCACCTGACGATGATCACTGGATAGATGCCCACACCACCAAACACCTACTAGAGGGACTGGCCTCTCTGGGCCTCCCTGAAGGTCTTGGTGGGTGTGACACTGTGCTCAGGCCAGGGAACAGAGACCCTGGGACACAGACCCTGTCCAGCGGATCTTAAAGAAAAAAAAAATTTTTAATCTGAAGATAATGTGGGAATAAGACATGGTGGAGAGCCTGGACTATGGAAATAAAATCCTGAGAAAGGTTTTCACAGTTCAGCTTTTATTAAAATTAACAAAGTATGGGAAACTAGAACTTGATTCCTGTTGAAATAATCCACTTGAGGAACGGTTTCTTCGGCTATCGCTGTAACTGATGGAACCTACGACAAGTGTTCTTTTACAAGATAGATGGGCTCTAACATCCAAGCAGAGAATAGGAGATCAAGGACCTTACCGATGCAGTGTGTTCACAGGGTATCAGCGATCAAGTCAGGTTGCCTGTGGACAACCGCATGGACAGAGCACCCACACAGACATACACATTCAGCATCTTAAGTCTTCTTTCAACATACTTTATACATCATATACAAATTAGACAAAAAGTCCAACCGGGTCCTTTATTGCCACTGAAAAATGGGGGGAAATAATTTTCAATCTCATAGCCAAAGGCAAGAACATAGTACTAGGGCAATTTGTTTCTCCAAATGCCACAGTCACATGCATTCCTGCCTTGGCTGCTGTCATACCCACGAGTCACTCAGCCCCACGACAAAGGCTGTGCAAGGGCTATGAGGTGGTGATTATCCACTACAGAAGCCTCTTCCATTCCCAAATGTCAAAAGTGCTGCTGGCTCACCTCCTCGGTCACACTGCACACACAGCACGGCCAAACATGAGGGGCTTAGGACTCTAAATAGTGCAAACACTTAAAAAAAAAAAAAAAAAATTCCAACCTCCTTACTTCTCCAGGCAAACAAAGCCTTAAATACTCCAGCTAACTAGAATAGGAGTTTGCTAAACCTCCCAACCTGATCCAACAAGGTGCAAATGGGGAGCATGGAGGCAATTCAAATGGCACCTGTCCCAATAATAATAAAAATAAAAAACTGTTTTAATGAGGCTAATGGCAGATAAATACATAAAATAGAGCCTGGAGTGTAGACACAGCTCAAGAAACAAGTTTTAGGGGTAGTGTGAGCATCTGTAAAGCACATGCTTAACACATTCTTAACGATCATGAGGACTGACCCCTGTTTTAAAGTCCATAGAGAAGATGCTTCCAAAAGGGACATCATCCAGCAGCAAAGGCCTTTAGCTGGTGGAAGCTTCCGAAGAACAAGGGGCAGAAAAGAATGAGGACTGGTTTGCCGGACCTAGGAAACTTCTAGGAGTATGCACTGTAGGGCAGGCCTTTCTGTGGAGCTTCTCCACGCCACAGCGTGCCAGGCTCAGCACCAGGCAGTGAGAGCCACCAGCAGATGGGCCAACCAGCCTCCCCCCTGCAAAGAGCGGGCTCCAAAAAAAAATGGCCAGGCAATATAGTTGGGTAATTGCTGAGTCAGGCTAAACGTTAGTCCCGAAGCAATTCCAGAAACACCAGGGATTGTGTTTTCCAGCAATCTCCTTTGAATATGGTATAAGAAAGAGGACTCAAAGTCAAAAAGACTCATCTATCTGGAACTACTGAAAAATCAGTTTTTGGAGGGTGACAAGCAAAGGGAAAATAGCTACAGGCATGAACTAGGAGAGTGAATGACTTACGGAACAGAACATTTCATTATCATGGATAATAAAAATCAATTCAAATATCCTAAAAAATTATCTTATAAAAATATCTACATTAAAAGTTTAGCCTGAACGCTATAGCTTCAGTTTTATAAAAAGGCAATCTTTGAAAGGCTCTGGCTCAGGAATATACAAACATTACACAACAGATATCAAAGTAACACAGCTCAAAAAGCATGTCAGGGGATATTGCAACTGGTTTGTCGTGAAACAGAATTAAGTATTCTTATTGCATAGCAGAAAATGAGGTCAGTTTCATTTGCATAATACTGCAACTTTTCAGAAGGAGAGATGCCATTAGGTACTTAGGAGAAGGAACTTTGGAATTCAGAGTCTGACTTCTGTGTTGTCCAAATCAGCATCCAAGCGGCATCTAAGCGGCTTCTAACCTTGGGCCACAATTCCATTTCATCACTGTGATCAGCTTTCAGATACACCACCTGCAAAGCTGCATTCACAAGCAGCTACGGCCACCCAAATGGGGGGGGGGGGCAGGGGGTTTGCCTACCAATGTGACCAGCACAGACTTGAAATCAAGTCAGCTGTGTTCACTGTGGAGAGAGAATCGTACCTAGTGATAGACAGCAGGTTTTAAATGGCCTCTGTGGGCAGCTAGAGGCCGAATAGCTTTTTGGTGGTGATGTACCAGTGTTGGAGTCCCCATGAGAAAGGACGGGTGAGGAGGAGATGAACCTGGCCTCAGCAGTACTACAGGGGGTGGGGGGTGGGGGGGGCGGTGCTTCCCGGGAAGGGAGACATGATGAGGTGCAACCAAGAGCAGAAAACATGGCTGGCGAGCTCTCAGGGAAGGGACCCGCTCTGGGCAGATAAAAAACAAGAACCTCCCCCACATATGCATCAAAGTCCAGCTCCTAGGTGTTGGGAAAGAGGGTGGGAAGTTCACCTTTAGTCTGAAATTAGGAGCCGTGTGAACAGCACACATGGGACCCCACCCCCCAGCCTCATCCCCATCAGAAACCAAAATAAAGTCCCAAACTCTCCTCAGGCCGGGAGGAAGAACATTTGCAACAGAAAGCTCATCCCATCAGCCTCCAAGCCAAGGCAGAGCTCTGAGACCACAGCCATCTCCAGGGCCAGGTGAGAACACAGCACCCAAACAAAGGCATGCCTTGAATCCGTTGGAGACTTCGCCTCCAGGCCCAACAAAGCTGGATATATCAGCCTCTTCCCAAAGCCACTAAGAATTCCGGATGCCTTGGTGCTGCCCTCCAAATGTCTCACTGAGATAACATTTGCTCAACATCCTCAACATCAGAAGACGTTTCTTCTTCAAGAGAGTTGAGTGTTTAGTGCACAAAAAAATATACAGTAAATACACAAAGCGGCCAACTAGCTAGGGAGGCTACCGGCTTTCTAGCTGCAGGGGTGAGCTGGGGGGGATGCCAGTCTCCTGCAGTATCTGCTTGGAAGGAGCCCAGTTAGATCAGAAGTCCCACATCAGGTTTCATAAAGCCCCTTGACTCCTATAAGTGGACCCCAAAATCAGGGAGCATTAAAGCCCAGCCCCCATGATGTGAGCATACTCTTCAGACACAAGACCTTCCCTCCTTATGCCACAAATTCCAACATAAGTGACTTGCAAGTTGAGGAATGGTTTCACGTTTCTTTTTTCTTTCTTTTTTTTTTTTTAATGAAAATGATTCCATGTGCCCTCAAATACCCACCCCCGCCTCCAAATGCTTAAAGTTCTGTCATTAATTTTTACCTGTGAATTTGCAAAGCTCTCACCAAGCTTCTCTTTTAAAATGCAAGTATCCCTGAGAGAGATCACACATCCAGGGCATTTACCACCATCTCCTCCCTCTCAGGAAAAACAAGGAGGAAAGGAGTATTCTGAGGGTTGGAGAGAGGGTACAGGCCCTGGAACAGGGGGAGAGCACAAGGAAAGGAAGACGAGGCCCTCAGACAGACTTGACCATCGCCATCTGGTGCTGAGGGCCAGCCCCAGCTGGTATACTCCTTTGAAGTCATCCATGTCCATCTAGATCACATATGACCCCCAAGGCAGGGGCCAAACTCTCTCTGGGTTTGGAGGTATGGTGACCTTTTATTTATCCTCCAAACCAGAATACTTCTGAGAGTAAAATGGGATGCTGTGAAGAATTAAGCCTGGATAGTAAGTATAGATGGGGAGTGTCCCATCCCAGGAAAACCCAGAAGTAGGATCCTCTCTGAGACCATTTTAGGCAGCAACTGCCTTACCACTTTGGTTTGTTGTTTTGTTTTTGTTTTTCATGTATGTATATGTATTTTTTTTTCCAGTGTGATACTCGGGGCTTCTCCAAAGAGCTAGTTTTCCCAACAAAAGAGACACAAAATCTCCCAAATCTGGAATCCACAACCTCAAAGACCAGTGGCCCAAGGACTAGGCAGTTCTCATCTGCTTCCTGGAGGAGAGCCCAAGGAAGAGCACCCAATGGAGGGGCTGGGGACCCCATCTGTTCCCAGTTCTAGCACACAGAAGACACAGTGAGGATTTAAGAATGCCCAGCTCTTCTGCAGACCGTGCCAGGGGTCAGAGCCAGTCTGTGGGCATGGTCAAAGCAACGCCCCCACACCAGTCACCAGTCATTTCTGGACACTCCTGGCCTGTCCAAACAGACCTCCAGAAGACAGCAGCTTTAGTAATCTCGGGGTTCCCATGGGGCACATCCAGAAGAGCGGTTTCTGTGATTTGATTTTTAGCACAGAAGGATCAGTAGTAAAGAAATCCAGTAGATTGTCACACATCCCCCAACTTAGTGAAACACCATGTTCTACACACACACACACACACACACACACACACACCCAGGTTCTCAGGTAATCCAGTAGAAACACACAAAAAAGCCCCCAGGTGCTGCCTGGAGCTCTCAGGAACCCACTGCTCAGGGGGGAGGCCCGAACACCTCAGGGGGGCAGGGGGCGGTCGCCAGTCTCCACGCCGGACGCCACTTGGCCACGTCGGAGGAGGACACTTCTCGCTCCTCTGCAGACTCTGGCGGCGAGTGGCAGTCAGGGTGCTGCTGTTCTGAGCCACAGGCAGCAGCCCTCCCCTCCTCCACCTCCTGGCCGTGGGCGTGGGGGTCACAAGGGCTTGTGAATCACAGCGACACCTAAGACGAAAGGGAGACAAAGTCAGCTTCTTCAGAGGTATCCAGAGTGCCACGGGGTTCACGAGTCCAAGCCACCCTAAAGCCCCAGTCAAGGGAAAGAGGCCCGTCGGTATCCAAGCACCGCAGGGCCCGAGAACTCGGGCTGCCCGTGGCGGGCTCGTTCCCATTCTGACGCCCAAGTCCCGGCAGGACACTTGAACCCGCAAGCACAGTCCTTCAGCAGCACAGCTAGTGGTCTTCCCTCGCATCATCGCGTGGACACGGTTCCTATCGTAAGGACTCCTTTCCCAAGCCCAGAACTCAGCCTCACGACACGGCGCCGGCACTGGACGCCTGGGGGCAGCTCCATGGCCCTACCTCTCCATCACTGTAAGAGAAGTGACAGTGATTCATGCCTACTTTTACAAGACACTGAAATGAGCCGCAAAGAACCGTGAACCGACGTCATGCAAGTCAGGAAAACTGCCCGTCAGTCCTAGCTCTGCCACCAGCTGAGCTGCAGTGCGGCCTCAGGCAAGTCCACTGACCTCTTGAGGCTCAGCTCCCATACTGTCTGATGTCACCCAATGGAAAGACCCCTCCCGTGCTAAATGCTGTACTGGGAAAAACAGTCCAGACATGTCTGTCTGCGTTACGATTTCAGCCAAAGTGCACCATACTCCACGGCTAACTGTGTGAATCCACAGATGACGCAGAGCGTCTCTGGAAGGTGGCAAACGCTGTAGGTGGATTCAGCCAACCTCCCCTCTCCTTGCTGTCCGCGACGGCAGAGACCAGCATGTTATCGACTCAGCTTCCCAGACTGCCTTGCAGCTGGCGTGCCGCGTGCCCCGGGCCTGGCCCAGACCATTGTCAGTGCATGTCTGGCCGGGCTGCAGCTTTGGCTCTGTCTGCTGCCCGGCCTGGAAGAAGGCTCACACACGGCCCACGGCGGTGGCCGCTATCGGCAAAGCCGACAAAACAGGAGAGGGAGGGCAGACCTGGTTTTTCAATGACAGCCTGAGCCCTAGGCCAGCCCTGGACTTCTGGACTTCCGTCTGCCTGAGACAGGTTGCTCCCTCCTTACTCAAGCAAGTACCTATCTGCTCCTCTGAACAAAATCCGAATTTACAGGTAAGATCTATTGGTACGGTGTACCTGACTGGAGCCTTACTTTCACTTATTCCCACGACTATAAAATCTTCTGGCTGCAGATGAGATTGAGAGAACACTGCTAAAAGAAATGCCAGGATACCCCAGGGGTGAGATTCTGCTAAGACACCCACTGCATGTGAGTTCTGGATAAAGGTGCAGACAGAAAAGCTCAGAGGTGGGCAGCTCCACAGTCCCCAGACCCAGATGTGCTGCCTGAACTTGACAACACCTCACCTGAACCTCAGGACTCTTTTGTAGGGTAGCACTTTTTTTTTTTTTAAAGCAGGGTCCTGTCTTGCTTTTTCATATAAGCAATATATAAAATTGCTTATATAAAAACAATATATAAAAATGCCTCCTCTTTTGGGGGCACCTGGGTTGCTCCGTCGGGTGAGCATCTGCCTTCAGCTCGAGTCATGGTCTCAGAGTCCTGGAATCAGGCCTTGAGTTGGGCTCCCTGCTGACGCCACTTCCCTCTGTTTGCTACTCCCCCTGCTTATGCATGCTTTCTCTCTCTCTCAAATAAATAAAATCTAAAAACATTAAAAAACAAAACAAATAAAATAAACCCCCTCTTTTGACTATAAAAGTGAAATATTCTTAGGGCGCCTGGGTGGCTCAGTCAGTTAAGCGGCCGATTCTTGATTTCAGCTCGGGTCATGATCTCAGGGTCCTGGGATCAAGCCCCACATAGGGCTCCCTGCTCAGCGAGGAGCCTGCTTGAGATTCTCTCTCTCTCCCTGCCTCTGCCCCTCGCCCCGCTCACGCACGCTCTGCCTCTCTCAAAATAAATAAATAAAATCTTTCTAAAAAAAAAAAAGAGTACAATATTCTCATTTTGGGAAATTTGGGAAACACAGAGGAACACAAGGAAAAAACATTCTGACTCCCTTCATACAAAGAGAATCACCATTATCTTGTTGGACTATTTCCCGGCTTCTAAAAATAATCGTGATCATCTACCGCGGAGCTGCTACATGCCAGGAGACACTGTGCTAACTAAGCACCCTCCAAACAGTTCTGCACAACAGCAGTAAGAGACTTGCTATGATTTTATTCTCATTTTACAAATGAGAAAACGAGAAGTTCAGTCAGACCGATCCCCTTGCCCAGAGTCCCAGGCCAAGTGACAGAGCTGGAACTCAAACTGAGATCTGATGCCAACATCCCCTTCTTTGAGCAGTCGCTACTCAAACGTCCATGATGCAGGACCATGTGACTGAGCTCGCATGGTACATACCCTCTGCATCCTCCCTTTTAAACCCACAGCCTGCCACAAACATGTTCTCATGGCATTAAAAACACTTCCACTGTACCAATAGTCCACAGTTTAACTATTTCCCTGGTGTCAGACATTAAGTAGTTCTCAGTTCTTTGCTATCACAAATAATACTCCAAATGAGTAACTATCCATCTGTCTCTGCATGCAGGCAATTTCTTTAGATTCTAAAAAAAAAAAAAAAGGATTCAGTCAGTCAATGGAGTTGAAGACAAATTGCAAGTTTGCTTGTCTCTTTCCCACCTACTTCTAGGTGGACAGACAATGAAGAGGTAGACATGAAATATTCAGCACATATGTGAAATTCTAACCACTTACACCTAAATCTTGCCCTCTCATTAAGGTCCACTAGGAGCCAAGAGAGGACCCCTCACTGGCCTCACTGCCTCGTACTCGAAAATGCCCTGCTCTTCCCACAACAGTATTGAAAAGAAAGTACTAGTTCTAATAATTAATCTTGAGAAAAGAATCACTCAAAGACCAGCATGCCTCTAAAATCTTTTATATTTAGTTGAGAAAAATCCTAAACAAGAGAAAAAAATAAAATCAGTTCATTGCAACTGAGGGCCTGTGTTGACAACATGGGATACAAGCCTCTTCAAGCCTGCCCGGCACAACCTTCCTTTGCCCTGGATCCAAACAAGACGGAATGATTGATCTTCTACTGCAAAAAGGGAATCAGAATACCACTGGAGTCGTGACGTACACTAAAGGAGATCGTCGTTGGCAAATACTTAGGGCCGTGCCTGGCACATTCTTATGTGCTCAGTAAATAAGCGTTAGCTCTAACTATTCCAGTTTCTGGAAGACGAGGTACAGGTTGCTGAGCTGCATCATGGGTGTACGAGTCTGCTTGTCTCCCTACAGACCCCTGTTGTCAGCAGCACCAACTTCGGTCGGACCTCCCAAACCTCACCGAACCCATCACACACACTCCCCAGCAGCAGCATCGCTCCCTACTCCTGCCTCCACCTCTTGCCTGGAGTGCTTTCTCCCCCTCAGCTGGGGTAGGACAAAGGACATGGGCTCAGGAGTCAGACCTGAGTCTGAATTCTGACTTTGCCATTTTTTAGCCATGTGGTCCTGGGCAGGTGACTTTGACTCTCCAAACCTCAGTTTCATCACCTGTAAAATGAAGGACACAGTCCCACTCACCCAGAGGGTTCTTGAAAGGATGACAGCTAATGGGTACATTGCACCTAACACACCGCCCTTCGGCACAGGGAGGGAACCCCTGGCAAAGGGCAGCTCCCACCTTCAGAGTTGATCAAGCCTCATTTCCTCCAGGAAGTTCTCACCTGTCATGCCTTAAAATACGGACAGCATAACACATTCTATTGAGAAGTTATGTGTGTATTGCCTTGCATGTCCTACTTCGTGTAGACAGATCTTATCTTTCCCACTAAATCTCTGGAAAGCAAGAACTGTATCTTAGTCTACGTAGGAGCCCAGAAATGGCAATGAAATTCTAAAACCTCTTAGGACAAATGAGAGCAGTTGGAAGTGGCTCCCGGGAACACAGGTGTCAAAAAGAATTCTGGGCCTACATTCAGGCTCGCTGGGGAAACCCGTGCTCATTAGGGGTATCTGTCGTGGGTACAAATGACAGATTGGTGACACATGACAATTATCCGCCATCCCTGGAGGAGGCACTTAGCCCCAAGTTAAGCAAACTTACCTCCACCTGTGCAGAGGTGGGGTGGGGGTGAAGGTGCAGTCGGGGTGCAGGACACTGACCTGCGTAGCTCCGCCCCGTGCTCATGTTGGTTGGTAGCAGCGTCCATTTGTCGGTGACAGGATTGTAGTACTCCACCGAAGCCAAGTTGCAGGATCCATCATCCCCTCCAACCACATACAGGAGCCCATTCACTGCACAGACTCCTGGGAAGTGGAGGCCACAGGAGACATTACACAGGAGCCCCGAAGGGGGCGGAAAGGACCGGAAACAAACGTGGGTGGCCCTGGAGGCGCTCCTCCTCCCCTTCAAGGCAGCCCAATGAACCGGCTCCTAGGTCTGACTTTGCTCAATGGGAGAGCATGCCAACAACAACCCGTGGGGCCCAAGGACCCCCCCTTTCTAAGAAGGTCCCTTCTCTGACCAAGGAGCTCTCACTGCTACATGCTCCCACGGACATTCCTGGCCCCTGACCCTATAAATACTTAGAGCGTTATCGGTATGGGCCCCTCTCTACTGGAGCCTGCAGACCTCCCATGCGCAGACTGAGCTATGCTCAGGGAATCTCACACATGCTACTCCTGCTTGTAAGTTTGCCCTGATAAAGGCTGTTATATCCATACTGTGTGGCTAATGGTTATATCTGTGATGCCTCCATGTGACTTAGATCTAAACCCAGACGCAGTTTACAAGGCATTCCTCCCACTGATCTCACGGAGAGCTGGTTTGAGGGCAAAGTCTCATGCTGCAGGAAGCCAGGGGTAGGAAAATGCTATTTTGCAAGGCCATAGTCTAATACACTATGTCTTCTTTTATTTATTTATTTTTTTTTTTAAAGATTTTATTTATTTATTTGAGAGAGAGAGAGCACATGAGAGGGGGGAGGGTCGGGAGGGTCAGAGGGAGAAGCAGACTCCCTGCCGAGCAGGGAGCCCGATGTGGGACTCGATCCAGGGACTCCAGGATCATGACCTGAGCCGAAGGCAGTCGTTTAACCAACTGAGCCACCAGGCGCCCCACTATGTCTTCTTTTAAAATTACATGAAGGGGTTGATGATGTTCAAGAAACAGTAATTCTAAGTACTGATGAAGATAATCTCAAATACTGGTGAGAGGATAAAAGGTACCACTTTCCTGGATGGTACCGAAAGCAAATATGCTCCCTCGGGCTCAAAAATTTCACTCCTGGACTTACAAAGAAATAATTTTGAGATGTGTGCACTGATTAGCCCTAGGACCATTTACAATAACAAAAACAGTATTACTGATCAAAAAAATGGAAATAATGTCCAATAGTAGATATTTAAATTGTGATATAGCCATTTAAAATATCATGTAAATCTATTTCGTGTTATAAAAAGATAGTCATGAAAGATTGTAAAGTGGATTAGAAAAGCAGGTTATAAAACAGCATTAAGTAGGATTCCACTTTTGCTATGAAAAAATAGAACTATCTCTATGTGAATGTGTACATATATACACATTTACATCTAAACTTAATTCTTGGATTCTTGATACACTAGCTGTCTTGGGAGTTCTGTAATCCCTTGCTCATGGGGCTTCAGGCCAAATGCCAAGTTATATCACAGCAGGCTCAGGCAGTGGGCAAATTAATAAACTCCCCTCTGTTTACACTTTCAACATGTGAGCTACAAATGAGTTTAGCAAACAGGTAATTTGAGTATAAAGGAAATAAATGCACCTGAAAGTCACCTGTTTGTCTTTCCAGCCTGGGAAGCTAAGCTAAGCCAACACATTCCTAGAGCAAAGAGGCATAAAACAAGATATACCAACAGAGGACACGATCCATAGGGCAAAGTTGTTAAAGCAAAGAGTTTAATAGGGATGTCAGGCTGCCGGAATAAAAATCTAAACACTGTAAGATAAATCATTCCCACAGGAAGGAAAAGAGGGAGGGACAGAGAGACAGGAGGTACAAAGCGAGGAATATGGGAAGCGCTCCCACTGGAGAGGGAATTAGGGCCCTGGTGACCCCCAAGAGGAAGGAGATGGGTTTCAGGTGGGAAGCGAGAGGTTCTCAGAGTCAGGTACTGGGAAAGAAAACACAGAACCAAGTGTCACGGACTGGCCAGGTCCACACAGCCCTGTGCTTAGCTACCCAACAGAGCCAGTAGGCCGGGGGCTTGGGGGGCAATCAGAGGGCTATTTGGGTCTGTGTCCACGCGTGTACTGTGAAAGTCATCAGCCCTCTGCATCTAAGCGGGGGACCCCTCGGCTAGCATTCGTGTTCCCCAGCTCTCCCCTCTGCTAGCCCAGCACCTACCTGGCAAAAGGATACTCCCCTTCGGGGTACAAGTTCGGGCCCAGGTTTGGGAGTCTCTCCCCTCTCCCTTTCTCTTACAGCTGGTGTTTGCACCCACACCCCACAAGGGCAGAAGGACAGAGCGGTCGCACTACCTGCGTTTCGCCGGCACATATTCATGTCTGCCACCTGCTTCCAGGTGTCTGTTCCGGGATCATAAACTTCAACACTCTTCCTCACCAGGGGCCCATCGTGCCCGCCCGTGGCATACAGCTGGCCACTGAGCACCCCGACTCCTGAAAAGCAGAGCACAGCATTGCAGCCTCGGGCCGGCAACCACGACCAGAAGCCAGGAGTCCTGGCGTCCGGTCCTGGGCAGCTGTCAGCAGCAGGGCGGCCTGGGGAGTGCTGGTTTGTTTCCACCCCCCCCCCCCGGGACCTCAGGACCCTCAGCTGTAAAACACATAGAATGACGCCCTGCCCACCTCCTAAGCCTGTCAACCTGAGAATCCCCTACAGATAAAGCAAAAATCACCCCGTGGCTATTTAAAGAAACATAACTATACGTACGCACGTAACATATATGTGTGTATGGATGTGGGTATGAAACAGGGGAGAGAGAGTTCATATGCAAAGAAAAAAGAAAAAAAAGAAAGACTGAAAGACACCCTCTAAAACTTCAGGAGCAGTTATTTCCAGAGGGTCAAAGTTGGCCTCCCTTTGGGCTGTCTGTGTGGCCGAGTTTTTCTGCCATGCTGTGCTACTCGTATTCTGCAGCCTTCTATCACAGTGGTTGTGTAGAAAGGTGCAAAGTGGAAACGAGCCGTGCAACCGACCACGCAGACCGCCCTGCCCGGGAGGCAGAACCCGTTCTTTCTGCCCCGCGCTCTCCTCTCAGCTTGCTGGGGAGGGAGGCCTTCCATCACTCCTGATGTTGAGAGGCCCGAGCCAACTCCTAGAATGGCATCGCCGACAGGATTTAGAATAACCTTTTAAAATCCTTTCATGCAAGTCACAGGAATCAAAGCCAGCAGGAAGGAGGGTGGCACAGGACCCCCGAAAGAGCAACAGACCTGGTGGCCAGGACACGTGGGGTCTGGATCTGTGTCTCTAACTTGCCCTTTGTGGGCCTCAGTTCTCCACTCTGCAAAGCGAGGGAGCTGGACTGCATGGGTAGCTCCAGGGGACCACGGACTACTCCGCCCCACCACAGGCTGCATCTCAATCAGGTGGGGAGATTTTGAAAGGAGAGATTCCAGAGCCTCACTCCCAGAGACCCTGGCTGCGAATCAGAACAAGGACCTCAGGTGATTTGGGGATGTGCAGCCAGGCGTCAGACCCGACCGCTCGGTTTCTAGGATATAAGCTTCCCGTGGACAAGGCCCCTGTCTGTCTTGTCTCATCTGTTTTCCTGGGCCTGACGGTACTGGGTTTATTGTTTGAATGACGCAGTATGTAAAATGCCATCGAGCAATTATGCGGGCGGGCTAGCGGTTCCTCAAGTTGCCTGAAACTAACAGCAGATGGTGGTGTTGTATCAACAACGGATAGCTAGCAGACCTGGGCTTAACAATTCAGTGTGTTCCAAAGCAGCCTCATGGCCCCTCTTGCACGCTCAGCAGGATCTAGCTCAGCCTGGGTCCCAGAGATGGACTCTTTACCCCCCCAACCATCTGCTAGCCTGGCTCACGCCCTACTGAAGAAGCAAGCAGCGTTCCAGGCCCTCGGGGTCCCCCTTGCCCTTCTGTAGCCTCTTGCACAAATGTTCACACAGACGTTTCCTGGACCCTGAGCCACGGGGGCTCCTGGCACTTCAAAGGGCCAGAGGCAGCCAGAGGCCAGAGTCTTTGAGTCTTCAGCCACCAGAGAACACCCACCATCACAAGTATGTGGGTTCTGCACTCCAGAGGCGCGGCTTTCCCAAATCTCAGGGACACAAAGCACGAAACGAAAGCTGACCTGGGAGCCTGATGCCAGGGCTCTGACGGTAAGGTGAGTAAAGAGTCCGCCTCTGGGAGAGAGAGCATCCCCTAAATTGAGTTCACCCAGGGACACAGGCAGGAGAGATGCCACCGTCGAGGGCCGCTAGCCCAGGTAAAGGTAAGAGCAGCTCAGGTGAACTCCACACAGCAACAACCCCTGGGAAGCCTGTCCGAGACAGCGGTTGGCCTCCAGAGGCAGATCTAGGGCAGCTGAGGCAGGTCTCCCAGTAGCTCCACACGGGGCTGCCCCTCCACCCTTTCTGCTGGAGACGTCCCTACAAGCAGCCCCCATCTCGGGGCTGCCCCACTCCTCCCGAACTGTCCCTACATCCTTGAGCTTTGAACTTGCTCTCACACCTCAAGTCACAGAGGATTCCTAGGAGGTACAAAGACAACTCTACCAAGACTCCATAAACCACAATTACTGAAAGAGCTCTGTGAAGGGAGAGGAGCCACGAGATGTGTGAACTGCACTGGCCCCGAAGGAACTCCTACTACCACCCACTCATTTCACATTTGAGGAATCAGAAGCCAGAACGGGGGAAGGGACAGGCTCACGGTCACAAGGCAAGTTCGAGCAGACCCAGCACTGAAGCAGAGGTGTCCTGACTTCAGGCATTTGCTCCATGTTCTTTTCAGGAAAGGCCAACTGGTCAGAATCAGCAAAAACAAGCCCACTAAAAATAGCATTCCAAACACAAATGCTTCTTAAATGGGACCATACACCTTTCTTTTTCTTTTCTAACTAGTGAGCACACAAAGGTTTTTGAATAATATTAAAACAGCATGATTTTTAAGGAATGCTGAAGAAGTGGTCGTGTGTTCGGTACTATAAAGTGAGATCACAATTCAATCTTCAAAAATACAAAGAAGAAAAAAAATACATATATAAAACAAAGACCTTGAAGGCATTATACTAAGTAAAATAAGTCAGACAGAGAAAATATCAGATGATCTCCACATATATGCGGAGTCTTAAAAAAAAAAAAAAAATCAAAGCTCACAGTATAGAGAACAGACTGATGGTAGCCAAGGGCAGGGAACTAGAGGGTGGGCCAAAGGGTGAAGGTGGTCAAAAGGTACAAACTTGCAGTTATAAAATAAAAAGTCATGGGGATGTCCTATACCAAATGGCAACTACAGTTAATAATACTGCATTTCACATTTGAAAAGTTGCTAAGAAAGTAGATCTTAAAAGTTCTCATTACAAGGAAAAAAAATTTTGCGGCTATGTGTGGTAATTGATGTTCATGTATGTGGTGATCATTTCATAATATATACAAATACCAAGTAATAATGTGGTAGACCTGAAACTAATATAGTGTTGTATGTCAGTTACACCTCAATTTTAAAAAACACAAAAGAGAAAGGAAGAGCACTGTGGATGAAAACTCCCAAACGCAGCTTCCCTTTGTGGAAGTCACACAACCTTCCCACCAGGCCCAGGCTGGTCAACACTCACCACCCCCCAAAAGAATGAGAATGGAGAGCCAGGGCCCAGTGTCCAGTGTCCAATGCCTCTGTCTGTCCTCTCAGACCCTTTCTTTGGGCCTCTAAGATGATGGGGGCTGTTGTTCCACTTCCTGGAAAATCCCCAAGGAGCACACGGCCCCTGGTCTTCCCACAGGATTCAGAAGTGAGCCACACTTGTGAATGCCTTCCCTTTCCATGTGCGGAAGAGGGCACGGGGGTCGGGGGGAGGGCAGGCAGAGAGAGAGAAGTTTATCTCCAAACAGGAACACCGACAGCTTGGCTTTCAACCCCCAAGACAGAGACCCCAGACAGGCAGGCTTTAATTTCATCCGCCAAGACTGGGACAGCCGTGCTCACCCTACTACTGCCTAAGAATGAGGCTGTAATAATTTAGAGGCCAAAAATGCTAACTTTGGAGATGAAGCTGAGTTTGGAGACGAACTACCAGTTATATGACCTTGGGCAAATTACTCGCCCCCTGATCAACTTACTTCCTGTTGAGTGGAATTAATGTTGTGTCTACCTCTTAGGGCGGTGGTGAGGATTAAATAAATTCAAGTACAGAAGGTGCTTATTGGGACAGCACATGGCACATAGTGAGCCTTCACTTTCCAGGGATGCAGATGTCTCCATGGAAATGGAAGGGATGACGGCGAAGAGAATATCCCCTGGGAGGGGCTCGTGTTGAGCTACGAAGGTGCCAGTGGGATCACAGACATTAAAAGGAAAGAAGGTAAAATACGGTAGAATGTGCACCTGCTGGTCTCCAGGCCCACCTGAGAGCAGATCAGACACAGCCCGCGCCCTGAGGCTCCCCCCGTACCTGCACCACTGCGGCGGGTGCTCATGTCTGCCACGTACGTCCACTCATTGGTTGCCGGGTTGTACTGCTCCACGGTGCTCAGGCACTGGCGGGAAGCCCCATCATAACCCCCGACAGCATACAGCTTCCCTGGAACAGACGCAGTGGCTGAGGGTGGTGCCGGCTGAAACTCCATCTTTAACTCGCGGGGGGCACCTTCACCTCCATCAGAGGTTCAGGGTCCCTTTCCTCCAGAGGAACCACAAACCAGACTAGGCATTCTTCACATATCTGCCTTCTGCTTCCTCGTAAGCCATGAGGCTCCCTGAAGCAGTACTGAGCATCCTTCTAAATCAGCACCCTAAATATTCATGCAAAGCTACGGCCTGGCTTCTCTGGGGCTCAGCCTACTCTTGCCAGCGCACTACATGAGAACTTCTCCAGAATAAGGCGACAAAGACAGGAAAAGCTAGAGGGCCCCAGCTACAGGCAGGCAGGCTGACTTTCTGGCTAAAGGCTCACAAGAGCAGACCAAAACAAATATGGGAAAATATTCTTCGGTGAGAACTCAATCCCTGTCTTCACCATCAGTCGTGTGCTGTGTCCACAATGCCAGCAAATGGGGCATGTGGATGGCTTGGAGCCATGCACAAGATCCCTGAAACACCACTACCCATTTTTTAAATAAAAATACTGTAAGCTGCTACCCAAAAGCATCATTTCTGCCTGGAGCTGGGTATGAGGCTGGACAAGGGGCAGGAAATTGGCATGAGAGCGCTCCCAGAGCAGAGGTTCAAATATGGAGGGTCTCCTCTCGCTCCCTCCCACCATCCCTCCCTCCCTTGCTCTCCCTCTCTCTACCCTCCCCCTCCACCGAGTGCCTATGTGTGTGTGTGTGTGTGTGTGTGTGTGTGTGGCAGGGGAAGTCCTACCTCACCTGTGGGCCACAGACCGATGGGGAACAAGTGAGTTATAACAAAGATCTTAAACACTAGCTGTAGACCAAATGAACACCGCCCAGTGCAAATCCACTTAATAGAGTTACTAACTAAAAGAGGTTTTTTTGTCACTATGTGCTTTACTAAGGGAGACATAACGAAAGTACAACTATTATTTGGAAGTCTGCAATTCTTTTAAGTTAGAAAGAGGCTCAAAACTGTGCTGGACCATCACGACTACTGACGTATCAAATGTAAAATTATTTCTTCCTCTGTCATTGAGGCTGGTTTTGTTTTCTGCCCCAGAGTCCTCTCCAGTGGAGCTTCTAAAAGAAAGGGACACCTCCTCCCCTGTTCTGCCCTCATCTAAGCCAGAAGAAAAATGCCTGATCCAGAAGCTCTTCCAGGGTCCGGGGTGCTCCTGCGACGTGCGCTGGCCAGGACACAACCACCTACCCACCCAGCTGCCCACCACTCGCCAAAGCCTAAGTCACTCAGAAGAGGAGGAAGGCCTGGGGTGTAGAGGAGATGAGAATCTCCCGAGGGCAACCCCAGAGTCATTGAGACCAGGCAGCCATGGAAGGAGACACGGAGAAGGAGAGTACCGTGACAAAGTGGAGAGCCAAAACTACAAGGCCACAGGCAAGCAGAGGCCCCATGAGATCCTCCTGCAACATTCTCCTAAGCACTGTGAGGAGGACCCTCTGCTGCCCCAGGGTGACCCACAGCCAAAGGGCTTCAAAGTCAGGGTGCACAAGATCAACACGTTGCCAGGCTGCCCTCTGTGGCAACAGGCACTCTACAAGACAGCATTCCTCCCACACACAGAACGTGCTCCCAGGAGCCCTTGTCAAGGGGAGTATTTCAAAGCACTACCATGGAGGCAACTTCTCGAACCCCCACCAACCATCTCAACCTTGCGTCAGCTGCAAAAATACCCACTCAAGGTTTCTCCTTGAGTCTATTAACAGTGACTTGCTATTTTTAACCCCTACTCTATTGTTTGATATTCCTGGCTGAGGAACAAGGTGGGGGAAATGGGAAGGTGGCTAGACAAAGCACTTATATTTGGCAGACAAATCAATTTCTGTTCCACCAGGAGGATGAGATTGCAAAAAAAAAAACAATTTATCTTGATAGGAGGACAAAATCCTTACACTCCCCAAGATGACTTATTTAGTATGTTAGGATGATACGTACTTTTAAATGGAAATTTATGTAATACTGGTACAAACCAAGAAAAGCAGGGAGAGAAAAGAATATTTCTGTCAATGTCTAATCGCTGCACATTACACTCTCCCCAAAGCAAGTACGTGTGTTCTTGGGGGTGCACATGAGAGAGAGAGAGAATGTCTGCATAAAAGTCTAAATGCACAGATATTCCAGCTAAATTCCCTTTCAGGACAGGCTAATGAATCAGTGTTGTCCTACAAAGGGTAACATTTTTGTCTAACTCATACTCTATGCTTTAATACACTGAATTCACACGTATTTATAAAACTCCCTATTAGCATTTGCTAATGGTCTGAAAGAGTGTAGCATAATGGAAAAAGCCCTGAGTTGGGAGTCAGAAGACCCGAGGTTAAGGACTGGCTGTGCTATTGACTAATGGGCACAGCACGTGTCCCTCTGGCACTCCACGTCCCCATCTGCAGAATGGAGAAAATCTAAGCCCTGCCTATCTCCTTCAAAAGGTTTAGGGAACAAAATTTGTATATAAAAGAGTCCTTTATAAACTACAGAGCCCTGTCTAACTGGGCCCCAGACCTCATCCCTCCCACCCGCCTCACCCACACACTCTTCCTGACGAGAGCAGGACTCTCCCACCCACCTGTCCTGCAGTGACAGTAATCAGACCTGGGAAGAAATGCCCACCTCACTCAAGGCTCTCTTCATGTGTTAATGGTCAACAGAGGAACAGGAGGACAAAATTAAACAAAATGAACTCTGACCCCCACCCCATTATACTCCCAGGTTATATGTTAACTCTAGATTCCTCAACCTGTGACAAAACTGGTGGCAAGTAGCCAAAGGGACAGGCCAGTGTTCCCCCTTAGGCTCCTCTTACTCTTCCCAACACGGCGGGCTACCCGTTAGCCTCGAGCCAGTAGCTGCACTTCTCTGCACCTCAACCTTCCTCACCTATTCTGTCAGGATGCTGGTACCTGACTCAGAGCCGTGATGGGAGGAACAGAGCCAGGGCACTAGGACAAGACCCATGGGCTGGGGCACGGATGGGCGGCTGCCCCCTGCCGTTCCTTACCCTCCACGACACCCACACCCACGCTGCTCCGCCGCGTGTTCATCGGGGCCACGAAGAACCACTCGTTGGTCTTGTAGCTGTAGGCTTCCACGGACGCTAGGCCTGGGAGACAAGAGACTCATGAGGATTCTACGGTGCCAGGCCTCACCCAGTGTGCCCAAGTGAGGCTGGGAGAGGGTGAGAAGCCCACTTGTGAGGCTAAGCACCACCTCTCCCTTGCCATGTGGTCTGGGGCACCTCCCTGAAGCACATCTACAGTGAGTACCTGAGAGGTCCACTGAGGCCTGACTCAGGGCGGGTCATGAGAGGACACGGGGGTACAACAGAACTGCCCTGCAAATGTAAACTGTTACACCTACAGAATGGAGGGGAAATAGGAGGTTGCCTCACCAAACACCTTCTTTTCCCTTCTCTTCCTCTACATTAGAAGCTAGAAATCTCAACACTTACCTTCCCAGACTCCCTAGGGGTGACCCAGTCAATGAAGCCCAAGCAGAAGTCTCATGGGCATTTCTGAAATAGTCTTTGTTTTTCTGATATAGGTGCAACACCAACCTGCTTGCTGCTACCTGGAATACCAGTGTGCTGGCTGGAGCTGTAACAGCCATCTTATGATCAGGAGGATACAGCCAAGGGACGTTTAAAGAGCTTGGCCCCAATATTCTTGAGCAAGGGGATGAAGTGAGCAACTGCCAACTTCCAGACTCCTTGTTTCATGGGTAAAACAGTTACCTCTCAATTGTTTCAGCCACAGTTTGGTGAGGTTTTCTACTTGCAGCTGAGAGCAATTTCTAAAAGAAACAACGCTCCACTCCCTTTTTTTCTCTTTATTACTCAGGTCCTACCCACTACAGGCAGCCCCTGGAGGAACTGCAGACCCTGGAATTTTATGAGTGAGGCAAAGAGAAGACTGGGAAAGGTTACCAAGTGGTAAAGACACAAATGAAAATTCAGGGAAGTAAAAAATATTGTTTTCCACATCCCTGGGGGCATTTCAGTAACAGAGTTACTGTCTATAGAGACTTTCACCTGGAGGCATAGGAGAGATGAGATAATCTCTCCAAGTCCACATCTATTCGTAGTTTCTGATTTGAACTCTGAAGTGACACAGAAGCCAGGAGCAAGGGGACGCTCCCGCAGTGACACAGCCAGGCAAAGCTTCTTGGGGCAGTAAAAAGGCAATGGACAAAGATGGCAGGGCCCGGGCGCCTGGGTGGCTCAGTTGGTTAAGCGACTGCCTTCGGCTCAGGTCATGATCCTGGAGTCCCGGGATCGAGTCCCACGTCGGGCTCCCTGCTCAGCGGGGAGTCTGCCTCTCTCTCTCTGACCCTCCCCCCTC